GAATCCGTGCTGTGTTTCCAGGTGAGAGAGCTCCTTCCTTTGGGACCAGGACCTCCAGGCCTGAAGTGCATAGGGCTGCTGGGACAGGAAGCAAAAATGCTGCAAGTGGATCACTAGGAGTAATAGTGAGTGGTGCCACTGCAGCTTCCACCCCTTGGTTCCTGGACCCATGAATTCTGGCTGTTGGAGACACAGCACTATATATTGGCCGCTGGTTTAGAGCATATACAGCTTCCTGGAGAACACTGCCCCAGCCCCGCAAGCTGTTGCCACCTAGTTGGCGCCATAGTGTGTCTTTAGGAGCCCATTCCATCGTTCTACCAAGCCAGCAGCTTCAGGATGATGAGGAACATGATACGACCAGTGGATTCCATGGGAATGGGCCCATTGCCGCACTGCCTTCGCTGTGAAGTGAGTTCCTTGATCTGAAGCAATGCTATGTGGATGCCATTCCAGTGGATGAGGCATTCTGTAAGTCCACGAATAGTAGTTTTGGCAGAAGCATTGCAGAAGCATTGCGTGCAATGAAGGCAAATCCATCTCCAGAGTAGGTGTCTATTCCAGTAAGAACAAAACGCTGTCCCCTCCATGATGGAAGTGGTCCTATGTAATCAACCTGCCACCAAGTTGCTGGTTGATCTCCCCGAGGAATGGTCCCATATCTTGGACCTAATGTTGGTTTCTGATGCTGGCAGATGGGGCACTCAGCAGTGGCAGTGGCCAAGTCGGCCTGGGTGAGTGGAAGTCCATTTCAAGAGGTAGTATATGATCAAGAACCGACTGTTGAAGGAAGATGTCTGAACTGAAAGCCTTGACACAAACCAAGGCTGCAGGAACTGGAAGAATACCAATTACAGCGGTTCAACAAACTGAAGCAACGCTGGAAGTGCTCATTCATGTATCAGAGAAATTCAGAGGTCCAACCAACTGGAAGAGATTCATATTTGTGCCCCTTCCAAAGAAGGGTTACCAAACAGAATGCAAAAATTATCTAGCAATATAATTACGATTCCTTACCCCACTCACTGACTGCCATCAAGTCAATGCAAACTCAGAGTGACCCTATGGGACAGGGCAGTCTGCCTCTGTGGGTGTCTGAGGCTGTTTATGGGAGTGGAAAGCCCCGTCTTCATGGAGTGGCTGGTGGTTCCGAACTGCGGATCTTTGGAATCACAGCCCAATGTGTAACCACTACGTCACCAGCGCTCCCATAATTACTATTACATGCAAGTAAACATTTAC